GTCATAGCTCTCTTCCACCTTGAACCGAGGTAAGTATAGATCCACTTCTCTCTTGCTCATATTCTGTGAGCTTGTCCATTCTATCAATTTCTCAGCAGTGAGTTTATCTTCAAGCTATAAACATGAAAAAAAGAAACTGACATGGTTAACTACAGACCTGTAACACAGATTAATAGAGAATTGAATATGAATAAAGTTTTTATTTTAACAATAAATAAAAATACAAAAGGTTCAGTTTATTAGATACTCTAATAAGCAATATAACAGTCCTGAGTATATATGTATATTTGATTATATATGTGTAAGTATATATGTAGGTACATATGTATATATATGTAAAAACAGAATCATTACATCATTATGTACTAAACGAACTCCGTTTCATTATTCCTTATGCCAAGGCCTCCTACATGTGTATATTTGTAATAGACTCTTTCTTAATTAAGACATTATTTTCATGTACTGTAATTACAGTGTCTACCCTATTATAATTCCTCTTTTCCATTATGTATTTGTAAATTTTTCCCACAGTGCTATACATTTCTCTCAATCAAATGTAAATTGTTGCATAATACTACCATCAAATTGAGATGCACTGTATATAACTCGAATTAATAATTGCTTAAGCCTTCAGATTGTATCAGGCCTTATGTTAAAAGATGTGTAATACAAAAGTGAATCATTGTTCCTCATTTAGAATTTTTCATTAGTTTAAGGCTCCTTTGTCTAAAACATTTAGCCTTGTGTAGACTTGGTACCTTAGGAAGAAAAGCAGGCAATAGAAGGATTGCACATGCAAGGTTTTACCTTCTGCAGACCATCTATTTCATTTGGCAGCAGCACAATCATGCTTAGGTCTTCCCCTTTGTATGGTATTTCCAGAACTTTAGCCTGCACATCCTCCAGTAAGGCAAAATTAAAGGATTTTCTTTGATTCATCATCTGTACAGATTTGCTGGTGCCCTGCAATAAATGAATGTGCCAAACAAATACCAAGTGAGACATAAGCCAAAAATGATAATAGTATTGAGTTACCAACACATCTTTCTGTTTTAAGAAATAAGGCAGAAATTTTGTGATTAGGATAAAAGAGTTTCTTCAGGTATTCGTAGCTAAATAAAGTTATGAGAATGAAATGTTTTACTTTGCATGGTACATTCCATCAAATGTGTTTAAATTTGACATAAGTGGATTAATAAAATGTGGTACATGTATACTATGGAATGCTACTCAACTACAAAAAACAATGGTGATCTAGCACCCCTTATAAAATCATGGATAGAACTTGAGCCCATCCTTCGAAGTGAGGTATCACAAGCATGAAAAAATAAGCACCACATGTACTTGCCATCAAATTGGTACTAACTGATCCACATTAAGGTGCTCATGTGGTAGTAATATTCACTGGATATTATAGTCAGGTGGGGTGGTGTGGGTGGGTGGTGGAGATGGAGCACAGTGTCTGGGGGAAGGGCACATCTCTAGACCTGGCTTGAGTAAGGCAAGGGCGTTACTTGACACCAAGATATTTGTACCTCCATAATTTTCTGAAATAAAAAAATTAACATCCCCTGTATAACTACATTACATTATATAAATAAAAGATAGGCAATACCTTGTTTAGCCAAAATTTTCCCTCTTTAGTATATTCTTTATTAAATTTCTTCTCCCATTGCCCTTTGAAATAGACTGCATTGACAAGAACAAGGATGGTGGCGCTGTTAAGAGTCTTCTTAGGAAATAGGTTTTTGATTTTTCCTGCAAGGAGAGGAAAAAGAACATCTGTCATGCAAGGTACAAGTGGTTTGTCTATAAGATGCTTTGCAAAAGGATGTGATTGATCATTAATTATTCACCAAGTCACTACTTTAGAAACTCACTGACCAACAGTTCACCAGACTCAGCTGTGCTCATGGCTGCTGCCCCATAGAGTTAGCCCTGTAGGAGATACCATTCCTTGTGATGGGAAAGGGGTGCAGGTTCTCTGTCTATGGGTGAGTTCAGTTATCTACACTGAATACTGATAAACTGATTTTATTTGCTCTTTCAACTTATCTATTAAGAGTTCATCTCTCCC